GGAGCTGATCCACCGCTACGTCGAGCTGCTCGACAAGTATTTCGGCAGCGTGAGTGGTCACCAAAGGGGTTGGGGACACCCTGGGGGTGATATGGGGGTGCTGGACCACCCCAGGGCCGTGCTGGAGGTGCTTGGCCATCCTGAGGTCACCCCAAAGGCACCCTGGGGCAACGCTGTGGGTGCCAGGCCCCCCCAGGACCATGCTGTGGGTGCTTGGGCATCCTGAGTTCACCCCAAAGGCACCCTGGGGCAACGCTGTGGGTGCCAGGCCCCCCCAGGACCATGCTGTGGGTGCTTGGGCATCCTGAGTTCACCCCAAAGGCACCGTGGGACAATGCTATGGGTGCTAGCCCCCCCCCCCAGCACTGTGCAGCAGCCATGGCCCCCCCCCAGGTCCATACCACAGTCATGGGCCCCCCCCAGGTCCATACCACAGTCATGGGCCGCCCAGTTTCATAGCACGGTCATGGGCCCCCCCCGCCATGGGCACAGGGCCACCCCAGGCCACCTTAATCCACCTGATCCCATTAACTCCACCGCCTTAATCCCCCCGGGAGCCGCTTAGCGCCATCACTAACAAGGATAATCAGGCTTAGCCACCAACGTGGGGGGGCCATGGGGGGAGTCATGGCCCCCCCCCCGATGATCGTTTCCTGCCTGCCCGCCGCCTGTTCTGTGCAGGTCTGTGAACTGGACATCATCTTCAACTTCGAGAAGGCTTATTTCATCCTGGACGAGTTTGTGATGGGGGGGGAGATCCAGGACACCTCCAAGAAAAGCGTCCTGAAGGCCATCGAGCAGGCAGATCTGCTGCAGGAGGTGAGGGACCTCCCCATGAACCGCCCCCTATGGGGCCCAAAGTCCCCTATGGACCCCTTATAGCCCTGTAGACCCGCCCATAGAGTCCTGGTACCCCCCCACACTCTGTTAACAACCCCTAATAGCCCCAGTGGGACCAAACACCTCCCAAAATCCCCTATGGACCCCTAATACCCCTATAGACCCCCATAGGGTCATGGTGCTCCCCAAACTCCCCTATGGACCCCCTGTAGGGTCCTGGCACCCCCCAACCCCCCCCTGCTACAGACCCCTCATACCCCCACAGATCCCCCCATAGGGTCCTGGTACCCCTTAAAGTCCCCTATGGACCCCTAATAGCCCCACAGGACCACAGGGTCCTGCCCCCCCCCAAACTCCCCTCATACCTCTGCCAGCACCGCCCCCCCCCTGAAGCTCTGACACCCCCCAACTCCCCTAAACCTCCCAGGGACC